AATAGAATGATTAGCCTAGAAACTACATACTGGTTTGATGAAATTGCAGTCAAACTGGCACCTTTGCATCTAAAGACGGTTATAGTGTTTATCATTGGAGAGATGCCAGTCGTTGTAGGCGTCTATCAGTTTGAACTTGCACAGCTTGTTCTTTTCTGTTTTGCTGGATTGCATGACAGCCTTCAATTTGCTTTCGAACAGTTCAAATTTCACATTTCAGCTTGAATAAAAATGAGTTCTGCTGGATTGATTCTCTATCTGTGTTGCTGTTTATACAGACGTTGTCTGTCACTATTATAATTACAAGGCTGTGAGCTTTTCAGTTTGCCTTTTGTACATGCAGCTGATTTTTGCAGCTAGTTTTTCAAAGTAGGTTTAGAAAAGAGAAGCAGTGAAAGGCATTGAACGGTGTTCTGATCTGGGTATGACATGCTATAAATAATATAAATATAATTATGTTAAATATGTTAGAATATGTGAATAATATACATTATACAGTACTGCACAAAAGTCTGCAGGGATATTGGTTCCACACCTCCAAAGTTCAGTCTGAGAAGTTGGTTGCATTTTCTGCCTCTCATGATCCAAGTAATCCCAAACACATTAAGTGATGTTGAGGTCTGGATTAGTAGTTTCTATGGCCGATCAGCTGAATGCAAGCCTTTACATGATCAAGCACAATGCCAAGTGTTGGAGGGCGTGGTGTAAAGCTCAACACCACTGGACTCTGGGCAGTGGAAAACATTTGGTGGAGGAGGGATGATGATATGGGGTTGTTTTTCAGGGGTTGGTCTAGAACCCTTAGTTCCAGTGAAGGGAAATCTTAATGCGTCAGCACCGAGACATTTTGGACAATTATATGCTTCCAACTTTGTGGGAACAGTTTGGGGAAGAACCTTTCCTGTTCCAGCATGACTGAGCCCCAGTGCACAAAGCAGCTCCATAAAGGCCTGACTGGGTAAGTTTGGTGTGGAAGAACTTGACTGGCCCTCAGAGAGCCCTGACCTCAACACCATCACACACATTTGGGATGATCTAGAATGGAGACTCACAAATGCTCTTCTGAATGAACGAGCAGAAATTCCCACAGACACACTACAGAATCTGTAGAAAGCTTCCCAGAAGAGTGGAAGCTGTTATAGCTGCAAAGGGGGATCAACTCCATATTAATGCCTATGGATTTAGAATGGGGTTCATAAAAGCTCCTGTTGGGACACCTACACATTACACCTACAGGAGCTTTTTTATGTATATATATATATATATATAAAACAACATTAATTCTGGCCTTGGAAATGGTTACATATATTAAAAAAACACATATAAAATCACTACTTTGTATTTATGCAGTTTTTCTAAACTTTTTTTTAGGTGTTTTTCCTGAGTGCACCTGATAAAAAAAGCTTTTTGAAACATAATTTTCTCAGGAGGAAGAAAAACAGCAGGAGGAAAAAATAATATTCCTAACTTTTAATGGACGTTATTGTAATGAGACTTTAAATGAAGTCATTTGGACTATTTCCATTTGTCTTCTGATCTTTAAATTTGGAAGAAGTGCAAACTGCAAAATTTCCAAATATGTAACTTACATATACACACACACTTGTTTGGTTGCGCTCTTCTGCCCACCAATCCGAGTGGCTGCTGCCTGCTGAGGGGCAGTTCTTGGCATATAAAAGGGCTTTCCTTAGAGGAGATGTGTGTGAGTATTTTGTGTGTACGTGATGGCCTTAAAAATGTAGTCAGTTAGCTGGACAGTCCAAGTCAACGCTCATAGTTAAGCAGTGTTTAGTTGAATCTTATCTCTTAACTCCATAATCATCCTGTCTATTATTAATTTCTAGACATTTATAACCCATCATATCATCATTTTTGCTCTTTCTTTGTAAATACTATTCTTGTATCAGACACTTTTGCAAGTGGGAAGTAAAGTAAAAAAAGGCATTGACTGAAATGGCACCTACTGTTGTCCATGTCCTTCCCTCACTTCTTGCATCACATGCAACATGTTACATCCTTTCTATATATATATATATATTTATTTATATATTTTATTTATTTTTATTTATTTTTTTTATTTTTTTTTGCAACTTTACAGGAGAGGGAAACTTTACAGGAGAGGGAAAAAAACATGCTTTACTTTTTATGAACCAGACTTTTTTCCAAGTAATTTTTTGGCTGTTTCTTTTGGTCCATTCATCACGAAATTTACACACAATGTAAAGGACAACAGACATTTTTTAAATGATGTCAAAAATTGAAAAATGAAAAAATGGAGACACAAGGTTATGACAGCAGCATGTGTGTGTCTATATATAGTATAATAATATATATATATATATATATATATATATATATATATATATACATACATATACATACACACACATATGTATGCATTATACAAATGTGTGTGTACATAATCAGTTTTGTTAACCAGTTTTGGAACATTTCTGTTGGTCTTTTCATCACTACATTTAAACACAATATAAAGGGTAACTGGAGTTTATATAACCTTTAAATTATGCATAAATGGAGATGCAAGGTTTTTACGTGACAATGATGAATTCCATACATGCAGTGCCATCTGCAACCCCATTTGGTTAAAGTAAAGGTAAGCAGAAACTCCTCGTCTTTTTGAGAAGCATTTGAATGCAGAATGTCACATTAAAGCTCTCAGGTTGACTCAAACTCCAATAAGGCCAGAAATACTGCCAGATGATGATTCCTACCTAAAACATCAACACTAGTGAACACTTGGACTGTGAATGGGCATTTAATACAGGCAGATACATTAGCTTAGTGTTACAGTGCCTCCTAGTGGAATACAAATTCAGTACAAAGCTGTAACACTGAAGTCCAGTTAAAAAACAGTCATGTGTACAGTCATATAGCCAGAGTCTAACCTCCTATCTAGCCAAACTCCAACCCTAAAAGAGAATGTAGGGGCTGAGGCAGGTTGCCAATGCACCGTGACTTTATCATGGTCATCGCAGGCAGGGGTCAACACACAGGCAGGCAGGAAAAGATGCACATCTATACTCAAAATCAGACAGAAAAGCAAGGGATCAAAACCAAATACACAAAACAGGGTCAGAACTCAGGTAAAGAACACAGAGACTTCACAAACACATGGTGGAAATAAAGGGTATATATAGCAGTCTTAATGAGTCCAAAAGGAGCCACAGGTGTGTGGTAGAGGAGGAGAGCAGGCGGAGCCAGGTAGAGCACAAGTCGAGTCTCCCCAGAGGAGGAGTGACACCAATAAAACAAATAACGCAACCCCAGTAGTATCTAAGGATCTGCAGGCCTCTCTTACACTGGAAACTGTCAGTGTTTAGTCTACCAGCAGACAAACACTGAGAACAGTATGAATGGAATGATAACATGGAGAAAGACACTGATCCAGGAAGGTGACCACTGCCTGTTTAACGTTTCTTTAAGGGCCTCCTGGAAGAGTCAGAAGCTCAGTTTTGTTATATATATATATATATGCTGTTGTCAGATCAAAACCTAATATCTCCAAAATAATAACTTTACAGGAGAAGGAAAAAACCTACTTTGCTTTCAATGTAAGTCAATGGAACCAGACATTTTTCCAAGTCATTTTGGGCCGATTCTTTTGGTGTGTTCATCATGAAATTTACACAGAATGTAAAGAGCACCAGGCATTTTAAAATTGTCAAAAACTGAAAAACAACAAAAATGGAGATACAAGTTTTTGTTCCGACAGGAGCGATATATATATATATATATATATATGTACATACATTTTTCTTTTTCCCTCTGGGTTTACTTGAGCTGGGGACTTTTTTTTTGAAGGGCACAGAAAGGCTGAGTTATAAACCGAGTGAAGTTAACGCTGCGTTTCCCCCCATTTTTTTGTCCTCTTTCTGACTCTTTCAAGGAAGTTAAGTACCTTGACTCCTCAAATTTCTTGGGGAAACCCTCATGGCCTGTTTCAGTCCACTGCAGCTCCCATAAGCCCCCTGCCCTTTCATTATCTAAGCCAACAATTTGCCACATCCCAACAACAAAATCTGATTAATTTGAGTTCGGCTGTGATTTTCAGTTAGTAGCACATACGTAACTTACCGAGTCCAGCACAACACCAAAGCTGACCATCACCCGAGAACATGTCCACTACTGAGGAGGCTCTTCAGTTTAATCAGGTTTATCAGTCTACTCAGACCTTAGAAGGTGTTTTTGTAAAGAAGCCATTTTTGGGTTGCCAAGGTGTTGCTAGGCTGTTGCTAAGGTATCCCAGGTGGTTGCTAATGAGTTGCTAGGCCGTTGCTATGGTACTCCAGATGGTTGCTTTGGTGTTCATAGGCCATTGCTATGGGAAACCAGGTGGTTGCTAAAGCATTGCAAATCCATTTCTATGGTATTCCAGGTTGTTGCTAAAGTGTTGCTAGGCCCTTGCTATAGTATTCCAGGTGGTTGCTAAGGTGTTGCTAGGCCGTTGCTATGGTACTCCAGGTGGTTGCTTAGGTGTTCATAGGCCATTGCTATGGGATACCAGGTGGTTGCTAAGGTGTTGCTAGGCTATTGCTATAGTATTTCAGGTCGTTGCTACGGTGTTGCTAGGCCATTACTATGGGATACAAAGTGGTTGCTGAGTTGTTGCTAGTCTGTTGCTGTGGTATCCCAGGTGGGTGCTAAGGTGTTGCTAAAGAAGAGCCACTTCTTTAGAATAAGACTTTAATAGCTAATAAACAAGCATTGATAATATATAAAGATGGAATATATCTTTTTTTATTTACGTTTTTTTATATTTATATTTTGTAGATAAGTATTCTAAAATGTACCCCCCCCCAAAGTGTATGTAACCACCTGGTACATATATATATGTCAATGTAAACGGTGTGTAGGTGATAATAACGCTAGAAAAAAAAATATTTTTTTTTCCATCACCTGTATTCAAAGAAGCCCCACCTCCTCTGCTACGATTGGCTAACAGCACCTTCCCGACAGGCCAAGCCTAATTCAAGAGGCGGGGCTTTCTCGAGTAAGGCGTGTGTCCCGGACGTTGCCTGTCATAGACGTTCAGAGTTTGTTTTCGCAGCGCAGCTTCAGTTTCCTCGTCAAACATGGACTTCGACTTAGCTTCAGGTATGAATGAGCGAAAGAGAGCTGTTCACACTGCTGTACACAGCGTTACACTCACCTCTCTCTCTCTCTCTCTCTCTCTCTCTCTCTCAGCCGTTGAAAAGGACGGAGAGGTGAAGAAGGCTGAGGGCCAACAAGTGGAAGGCATCTTTGGTTTTGGAAAGAAAGACAAGGACAAGGAAAAGAAGGTGAGGCCACCGCTTAAACATCACATTCAGCTTTGAGAAGTTTAATACACGCTGATATTAAACATGTTCTTATGTTTTTACTGTGTTATTAATTATGAAATTAGATATGAGGGGCTTAACAAATTGTATCACAGTCACGTCAGCTGAGAGGGGCCGAACTGGTGTGTGAGAGCTGTGACAACAACCATCATAACAAACCAGGAAAATCGTTCCGAAGGCTTAAAGGGCAGCTCCACCCAATTTTCAAAATTTCTGCATATGTAAATGGTTGAGATGTAAACAAAGCCGTTCAGAGTGGTTTGGTGTGAAATGCTCCATTCTAGAGAAACCTACCAAGTCATAGTGGTGGTGATAGGAACCAGACGTCCACCTTTAAAAGCTCCCTCACAGAAAGTTACTACATGAATATGTTATGAATGCGCTGCCTGATGATTGAGACACTGTTTTATGATAGTTTTGTGATAATGTTTTGGTTTAAAATGAATTTGAATCCATTTATTTCAATCCTTTTATGGTGGAGGTGGTACATGCTGGGAGTTGTAAGGCAAAATAGTCCTTTAGACTTTCCATATAAAATGTTCCATATTAACTCAGAAGACTTGTGTAGGTTCACTGGTGGTTCTGGATAGTAAATAAAATGGCTATATTTGTGTTGTAGTCATGGCGACCCCTGGTTCCTATCACCACCACAGTCTGTACAATGAACCATTTCATGTCAAACCACTCTGAATGACTCTGTTTACATCTCAAGGACTGAAATACTCAGACATTTAGAATTGGTGGAATTCCCCTTGTTGGTCCATTTGTTCTGAAACGTTCACACAATTTAAAGGTGGTTGGCATAAAAATGTAAACAGAATGTCAAGGTTTTGATATGACAGCAGTGATGTCATCACTTCTGGACCAACTCCAAATAACTTTATAGGAGAACAAACATTCTTCATTTTACAGTGTAATTTAATGTAACCAGATATCTTTTAAGCAATTATGGACCGTTTCTTTTGGTCCGTTCATAATGAAATTTTAATAAAATGTGAAGGGCTCATGAAGTTTGCAAATTATGCAAAAAAGTTGACGACGCTTTTGTAATGTTATAAGAAAATGCAAGTTGCATGATAGAAGCTGAAAGACTGGTTACTAAAGCATTGATCCATGAGAGGCCGTGCATCACTGTGATTGTACCACAGGGAAGGGTGTTCTTAGGCACGACGTGACGTGGAGTAAAACTCCTTCCCTGTGATAAAATCACTGTAACGCACAGCCTCAAGTGGCTTATTGCTTTTAATATAATAGTGTAATATAACAGTGTCATGTTACTATTACCGTTAACTGTCATGACAGAGGATAATAATAACTTCACACTGTTATTTTACTGAACAAAATCTGTTTTTTCATGACTACACACTTAAAAAGATGCTTCTTCAAGGGTTCTTAAGTAAAGGCAATGGTTCTCTTTAGAATTATGGGTTTTATATAAAATCATGGGTTCTATATAGAACCATTTGCATGCTTTAAATGGATCTTTGCATGGTGAATTAGTTCCTCAGATTCATGGAGAAGGTGTTGTAGATGGTTGTACATATAACCTTTTTTAAAATGGTTCTACATAGTGCCCGAAAGGGTTCTTAACTTTGCAACAATAGAAGAACCCTTTTGGTGCTATATAGAACCATTTTCAGCTATACACTCTTTAAAAAAGATGGTTCTTCAAAGGTTCTTTAGTTAAGAAAATGGTTCTATGTAGAACCCTGAACACTCAAAGGACCATTTGCATGATTAAATGGTTCTTTGCATCGTGAAAGCGTTCTTCAGATTGACGGAGAATGTATATATAGCAACTTTTTGGAAAGAATTCTATATAGCACCAAAAGGGTTCTTCTGTTGTTGAAAGCTTGACATAGTAATGATAGAAGAACCATTTTTGGTGCTATAAAGAACCCTTTCTATATAGAACCGTACGTAACATATTTTCCAATCTGAAGAACGCTTTCGTGATGCAAAGAACACTTACTCATACAAAGGGCTCTTTGTCTATTCAAGGTTCTGCACAGAACCATTTGGTTTACTAAAGAACCCTTGAAGAATCATCATTTTTCAAAGTGTATACAGCGCATTCTCCGTCAATTTGAAGAGCCAGTTTACCATGAAAAAGAACCAAATGGTTCTATATAGAACCCATGATTCTAAATAGACCTATTGCCTTTACCAGAGAACCCTCTTTAAGTGTGAATATCAGTGTTATGTAGCAGGTCTCAAGTAAAGCATAACCCAAAAACCAAACCAGTCTCTTTGGGTTCTGGTGTCGTATTTGTTATGTATGATCTGTAAAGACGTGTCCATTCATCCCTCTCATCTGTTCAACAGGGCGAACACAAGGATAAAGACAAATGTAAGGAGAAGGACAAGTGCAAGGACAAAGACAAGGAGCACAAGAAGTCTAAAGACAAAGAACACAAAAAGCCCAAAGAGCATAAGAAGCCCAAGGAGCATAAGAAGCCCAAAGAGCATAAGAAGGGAGGCCATGGCTCATCTTCCTCCTCCAGCGACAGTGATTAGGTAATTCACTTTTAATGCCAACAGTCTGTAAGCCTCATGCTAGCTCCCAGTTTCTGAGTGGCCTATAGCTGTTAAGTGGACCTACCTACTCAGCGAAGCCATCCAGCTTCAGTCCACCCTTGGTTTGCCCAAGGTGTACCCAATGTGGGGTGTCAATAGGCTGATGTATTCATACTGATTGTTGTTGACAGCAATTTTACAGTAAAACTTTACCTCGCTATATGCAGTCGAGCCAAAAACAAGCATTGAAAGCTAATTGTACCTGTTAGCATCATGCTAACTGTATGGCTAAACTTCAACACTGTTTTTAGTCTGGATTAGCACTCCATCATAAAACCATTAGTCATTATGCCAATTAGCATTGTGCAGACTAACTCATCACAGACCTCAAACTGCACTGAGTAGTATCTCAAATAGACGTACATTATTAGATGTAATTTCTGATGCTGTCTGACTGTAAAAGTGGATGAAAACCATAGCTTTTATGTAGCATAGCTAAAAATCATAGTAGCTGCCATCTTAAAGTCTGAATTTTGTCCTTTATCTATTTGTCTATTTTATTATTTGTACATTTATTCCAGGGTTGGATAGTAAAGGAAAACATGTAACGGTGTTAAATATTCTGCGTTGAAATTTGCAGTTTTGAATGATAAACATGTCACATTCGAGAATTTTTTTAAGTTTGAGAAGAAGTGGGCGCTGCTGCCAGAAGAGAATTCTGAAGAATCAGCCCCACTAAGAGCAGGTCGTGTTTGTTTTTTTTGTTTTTTTTTTATTTAACCAGTCTAATGAATTTTAGTAGGTATTTTATTTTTATTGCCAGAACTACTAGCAACTACCTGGGATACCATAGCAATAGCCTAGCAGCAATTTAGAAACCACCTGGGATTCCACAGCAATAGCCTAACAGCACTTTTGAAACCACCTGGGATACCATAGCAACTGCCTAGCAACACCTTAGCAACCACCTGGGATGCCATAGCAGTGGCCTAGCAACACCTTAGCAACCACCTTGGACACCACAGCAATAAAGGTGCCATACCTCAGCAACCACAGCTGATACCATAGCAACTGCCTAGCAACAGCTTAGCAACCACATGGGATGCCATAGCAATGGCCTAGCAACACCTTAGCAACCACCTGGGATACCATAGCAATGGCCTAGCAAGACCTTAGCAACCACCATGGATACCACAGTAATGAAGTTGCCATACCTCAGCAACCACCATGTATACCATAGCAATGGCCTTGCAACACCTTAGCAACCCCCTGGGAAACTATAGCACCGGCCTAGCAACACTTTAGCAACCAGCTGGGATAGCATAGCAACTGCCTAGCAACACCTTAGCAACCACCTGTCATACTATAGCAACGGCCTAGCAACACCTTAGCAACCACCTGCAATAGCCTAGCAGCGGCCTAGCAACACCTTAGCAACCACCTGCGATACCATAGCACTGGCCTAGCAACACCTTAGCAACCACCTGGAATACCATAGCAATGGCCTAGCAACACCTTAGCAACCACCTAAGATACCATAGCAATGGCCTAACAACACCTTAGCAAACAGCTGGGATATCATAGCAATGGCCGAGCAACACCTTAGCAACTAAGAGAGAAACTATAGCACTGGCCTAGCAACACCTTAGCAACCCCCAGGGATACCATAGCAACTGCCTAGCAACACCTTAGCAACTACCAGGTAAACTACAGCACAGGCTTAGCAACACCTTCACAACCAAAAGATAAACTATAGCACCAGCCTAGCCACACCTTAGCTAGCAACCACCTGGGATACCATAGCAACTGCCTAGCAACACCTTAGCAAACACCTGGGATGCTATAGCAACAAAGTAGCCATACCTTAGCAACCAGCTGGGATACCATAGCAATGACCCAGCAACACATTACAACCGCCTGGGATCCCACAGCAATGGCCTTGCAACACCTTAGCAACACCTTAGCAACCACCTAGTTGAATTTGTTTTTCTCTTTATTTGAATACATGACTTTAAATGATAAGTAAGATAAGTGACTGAAGGTGAACATTGCATGAACATAATAATCCTTTGGATTAGGTTACATATTACATTCTTCATAAATAATCAATAATCTGTACTACATTTTAAAGTGACTCTCTCGCCCTGGACACAGTGCTGCACCACGGAAAGCATGACGGACGTGCTGAGTGCTGAATCTTGGGTTGGGCTGCTATAAACAGCACAGCCGTGTTTTCAGATAAAGCGAATCGTCGTAAAAATTTCCAAAGGTTTCACTCCAGCGCAGACTGACAGTCCACTGGGTGTGTCGGGGGTGTGAAACGGTCGGGAGGGGTTCGCTGTGGAATCTGAGACTATTTCCTGAGCAGCTCAGAGGCTAAAAGGCAGATAAAGCAGCAGGTTTCTGTATTTCTGCAGCCCCGCCCAGAGCAGTGGGTTAGCAGAGAGAACCTCTCTGAGCTGTATTACTCACCTGTGGGAGAGATATGATCTACATGCAAACTCGGTGAAGGAAGCCCCACAGGCATGATGTGATAACAGGTCACTTATCTAGAACAATAGACTCACATGTCCCTCACATAGCTGAAAGAGGAGTGTGCTAGGTCAACTCTCACTCCTATCAGACTCACAGCTTGTTCTACCACTCAGAAGAGACACTAAAGACACTGAAAGATCCTAAGATCCTAGCCATGTTCAGAGCACTGGTCAGTGAAGTTGGTCAAAAAGTACGGAAAAATGTCTTCATAAATCGCTAAAGAACTAGCTAACTAGAACAATGCATAGCCTGCACTCTAAAAGATGCTTCTTTAAGGGTTCTTTAGAAAAGACAGTGGTTCTGTTCACAATCATGAACACTCCTAGAACCATTTCATGCTTAAATGGTTCTTTATTTTTGTGAAATAGTTCTTCAGATTGGTGGATAATGCATTGTATATGGTTCTCTATATATTGTTCTCTATATAGCAGAACCCTTTTTGGTGCTATATAGAACAAGCTTAAATGGTTCTTTGCCTGGTGAAATAGTGAAGTGATGGATAATGTGTTGTACATGGTTATATAAAGCACCAAAAAGGTTCTTCTGTTACAAGCTTGACATCGTAACAGTAACAGAACCCTTTTTGGTGCTATACAGAACATGCTTAAATGGTTCTTTGCCTGGTGAAATGGTGAAGTGATGGACAATGTGTTGTACATGGTTTTATATAGCCCCGAAAAGGGTTCTTCTGTTACAAGCTTGACAATCACAGAACCCTTTTTGGTGCTATAAAGAACCATGTACAACACATTTATCTTATAGAACTAAATTAATCTATATAGAACCTTTTGGAAAATGGTTCTTTATAGCAACAAAAAGGGTTCTTCTGTTTCAAGCTTGACATCGTAACAATAGCAGAACACTTTTTGGTGCTATGTAGAACCATGTACAACACATTCTCCATCAGCACCATTTTACTAGGCAAAAAGCCATTTAAGCATTCAAATGGTTCTTTGAATGTTTATGGTTCTGTATAGAACCACTGTCTTTCCTAAAGAACTGTTAAAGAACCATCTTTTTTAAGAGTGTACATACACTCTTAAAGATGGTTCTTCCGGGGTCTTTAGTAAAGGCAATGGTTCTAGAACCATGGACACTCCAAGAACAATTTCATGCTTAAATGGTTCTTTGTTCTTTCCATGGTGAAATGGTTCTTTAGACTGGTGGATAATATGTTGTATATGGTTCTCTGTAGAACCTTTATGAAAATACTTCTTTATAGCACCAAAATGTGTTCTTTTATTATAAGCTTGACATCGTAACAATAGCAGAACCTTTTTTGGTGCTATATAGAACATGCTTAAATGGTTGGCTTTGCCTGGTGAAATGGTGAAGTGATGGAGAATGTGTTGTACATGGTTCTATATAGCACCAAAAAGCGTTCTTCTGTTACAAGCTTGACATCATAACAATCGTAGAACCCTTTTTGGTGCTATATAGAACCATGTACAACACATTCTCCATCAGCACCACTTCACTAGGCAAAGAACCATTTAAGCATGCAAATGGTTCTTTGAGTGTTCATGGTTCTGTATAGAATTGTCTTTGCTAAAGAACATACACTCTAAAAGATTGTTCTTTCAGGGTTCTGTATAGAACCACTGTCTTTCCAAAAGAACCGTTAAAGAACCATCTTTTTTAAGAGTGTACATACACTCTTAAAGATGGATCTTCAGGGGTCTAGAACCATGGACACTCCAAGAACCATTTCATGCTTAAATGGTTCTTTGTTCTTTCCATGGTGAAATGGTTCTTCAGATTGGTGGATAATATGTTGTATATGGTTCTCTGTAGAACCTTTATGAAAATAAAGATTGGTGAATTATGTGTTGTATATGGTTCTATATAGAACCTTTTGGAAAATGGTTCTTTATAGCAACAAAAAGGGTTCTTCTGTTAGAAGCTTGACATCATAGTAAGCGCAGAACCCTTTTTGGTGCTATATAGAACCATGTACAACACATTCTCCATCAGCACCATTTCACTAGGCAAAGAGCCAGTTAAGCATGCTCATGGTTCTTTGAGTGCTCATGGTTCTGTATAGAATCACTGTTTCTCCTAAAGAACCGTTAAAGAACCATCTTTTTTTAAGAGTGTACATGTGCATAACAATATTAAATCTCCTTGAAGACCAGCTCAGGTTATATGTAAATGAACGTGGTTTTCATCTGAAATGCTGTTCAAGCGTGTTGTTTGTTTATGTCTTAAAGTTCCATATGCAGATTATTAAAAATATTTCTATGATAATAAAATTGTTTTATTAAACATCCAGCAAAGTTTGAATGAAAACAAGTGGCTGGGTTATGAATAAACGGACCAACAGACGTTCTGCTGGCTAATCTGTGCTTGCTAGGTTAGCGTTTGCTCGTTAGCTTCCTCTCGCTAAGTTTCTCCGTCTATGCTAACAATTGTTGAAATTCCAAAAATGGGAAAAAGTGTGTGAAATTTTCTGCATATTCATGTTGTTTATGCTTGTCGTGCTCAGTGTTTAATGGCCTCAACTCTGCAACTTCCTTTGGGGTTAATAATGTTTACATTTATCCATTTAACACTGTTACCATTAGCTGCTGTTAGCTTGTTAGCTAGTCTGTTTTCTAGCTAACAGCTAGCCACAAAACAAAAATGGCCATTTTCTTTTAAGAAGTAAAGTTAGCGAATTAAATGCTTCTTCAGTCCAGAGCAGTGAGGCTTCCACATCCATGCAGGTGTCTGGAGGGCCGTGTTAGCGTTAGCATTAGCCGCAGCCATGTATTGTTGAATCCTGAATTTCGGCCATACTTGTGTCCATTTTTATAGATAAGTCATAGAAACCATATAAGCTAGTCTGTTTGAGATTACTGACCATCTCAACCTGGTTTGAGGAGAGCGATGATTTAAGCGAATGCTAATTGGCACTGTGTTAGCTACGTTAGCCTTGTAGCCTTCTAGTGCAAAACTAAGGAAGCAGATTTCAGACACCAAGCATGTCTTGGCTGACCGATTTCATTTGGAGTTAGTGGACAGTTGTGTACATTTTGATTTAACGACAAAGCATGCAAAAGTTTGTGCGACCCTGGTCAAAGTACATTTTGTTGATTTTGACGTTTTGACTCACATTTTAATGCATAATTGCTGTTCATATGAAAATATTGACATATTGAAGTCGAAGTAAAGCATAAAATGCAGCCTGTGCAAAAGTTGTGGCACACTTTATATTTTGTGGGTTTTTTTCAGTGTGTAAAACTCGGCAAATATATAGAAATTGAGCACTAAAATAGCAGAGAGTTCACTTATTTTCACATAGTAAATCAATAAAAGGTGTAATTTCAGCAGGAGGTGTTCAAGCTTTTAATGTTCCTCTGAAGAAACTTGGTTTTCTCAGGAACTGACATGAAGGATTTTGGAAAAAACACAGATGCCCTTTTGATTTCATGTTGATCTTTGGGTAAATCAGGTTCTGATAAGATCTCACTGCGTCAGGTTCCACCGTCTGAAAGCGTCTAAAGCTGTCAAGCCCAGGCCTTTGTACAGAAAGCCTCAGGCTCTGGCCTGGAAAAGCAGACAGACAGGTTTCTCTTGATGGACAGTGTAAACACTGACGCAGCTTCTCAAACCAGTCCGAGCTCCTTTACGGGGTGAAGTTTCACAGGTCTGTCAGAAAACGGCATCCTGGGTAGTTATGAGGAATTGTGGGAGTTCTACATTTCAGACTGTAGAGCAAATGTCCAAAACACTGTGACCTGAATACCTCAGAATGACCACTAGATGTCACTGTTGTTTTCCAGTGACACTTTCAATTCAGGGTGACATGAATATATACTCATATGCAAAAGTTTGGGCGCCCCTAGACAAATGATATGCTTTTGTTGAGAACATTGTGTGGCACAGTTACTGTTTATTTGCTGAATTTAACATTTTGGACAAGTAAAACATAAACATGGCCTGTGCAAAAGTTATGGCACATTTTATATTTTATGTTTGTTTTTTTTCCCCATGTGTTAAATTCTGCAAATACATAAAAATTTGGCCAAAAAAAGCGGCATTTAAGTTGCAGTCTCAGAAAATCAACTTTACAAAGTCTTGGAATATTAAGAGTTAATTAATAAATAAGATAAAATCTGTTTAAACAACCTGAAAATGATCTAAAAGAGGAAAAAAATTGAATTTTGGTGTTTGGAGTGTTTGCAGGAATTTATAGGCCATTTAGCTGTTAGCGACATTAGCATTTGGACACAACTCTTCCTTTAATCTTGTATACATGAAGTGATCACTTGCTGTCCGTCTTGTGGTGGCATCCAGGGCCACATTCTGACCAGCAGTTTTCGATATTTGTGAGGCCGCTAAATTTGAGATATTTATGGCTAATCTTTGACTTGGTTTGCAAATTTCACTGAATTTTGAAGATTCTGAGATTTTTGGTGATGGTTTTTACTGCCAGATGCTGCTCACTGATGCTTTTTTGTTTAATATGGCATTTTAACATATTGAGGAAAAAAAATAAAATATAAAACATAAAACGTGCCATAACTTTTGCACAGGCCACATTTTACAATTTTTTTCCCCCAAATTTTTTAAATTCAGCAAATAAACAGAAGTTATGTATTAAAATGTGCAGTTCTCTGTAGAGGATGTGTAAACTTATATTCTCATTTTTGCATACAACAGTAAGTATGTAAGTGAGTAAATAAAATACATAAAATGAAATAAAATAACATTGAAAAAATGTAAAACTAAGTAAGTAAATAAATGCATAAAATGAAAAAAGTAAATAAATAAAATAAATAAGCAAGTAAATAAATAAATAAATAAATAAGTAGGTTAGTAAGTAAATAAAGTTTAAAAAAATTAAATTAAAGAAGTAAGCAAGTAATCGACATAAAATAAATAAATAACCAAATAAACAAAAAAAAAAAAGTAAATAAATAAAATAAAATAGAACCCAATTTCCAAAAAAGTTGGGACGTTGTGAAAAATGTAAATAAAAACAAAATGCAGCGATGTGCAAATCCTATGTTTCATTGAAATGTAAGTAAATAAAATAAAATAAATAAAAATAAAAAAATAATAAGTAAGTAAACAAATAAATAAATAAACAAATAAATACATATACATACAAAAATAAAATAATAAATAAATAAAATTTGGTAAAAAATATAAAAGTCTATAAATAAGCAATAAAATGGGGAAAAAATCAAATAAATTTCATTACATTGAGTATGTTAATTACACTATATGGATTCTAAATTATACTAATTATTAATTGTATGTATTTTTATGTTCGTTGCATGTTCAGCATTTTAGAGAAAGAAAAATTTTGAAACAAATGCAGTTTCATTAACAGCCTGTCCTCCTTTCACAACTGTTCCTGAATGAAATACTGTTTACAGCTATGATGACAGTTCACTGTTTGTATCATTTAATAAGAACGATCTTGATTTATATCACTGCGCAACAAACACAGTTGGGAACAGAACTGGTTATCTGACTGTCTGGTCTCTGTTTCAGGGCTGAGAGCTCAGCTGAAGGAGGACGATCTGACTGCCCACACATTTAATGCATTCTGTGTAACACATACTGTGTATATACTTGTAATATTAGGAAAAACAATAAATACACTTTCTGAGTTAACACAGAGTCTGTGTTTGGTCTGTGGAGTAATGTGAGGATTCCAGGAGAAGAACCAGATCAACACTGCTGTGGTCTCTGGGTGTGAGTCTCAGCTCGTCCACACGAGGGGAGCCACTGTAGTTTCAAATCTTGACCAGAATCATTTTTACTCACCGTGTACCTGCAGGTTTGGCATATTTGTTGAAAAACCACACACAAAAACACACCAACAAATAAATGCATTAACTCGCGTGATCCATGCAGCATAATGACGGAAGAAGACCTTCGCCATTTTTGGATATTTTTCATTTTTTGACATGATGTAAAAAAAATATCAGCTGCTCTTTATGTTGTGTTGTAATTTTATGATGAGCTCACCAACAGAGATGGTCCAGAAGTACTTTGGAAAATGTCCAGTTGCATTACTGTCCACTCCAAGATAAGATCGTCACAAAAAACTCACAAAAAAAATACAGTTAATAAATAAATAAATAAATGAATGAATGAATGAATGTGTGTATATATATATATATATGTATACGCACCTGTGTGTGTGTGTGTGTGTGTGTGTGTGTGTGTGTGTGTGTGTATGTATGTGAAATGTGGGGAATGTACACACCTAAAAAAGAGGGTTGTGGAACCATGAACACTCAAAGAACGTTCTACATAGAACCTTTTTGAAAATGGTTCTATATAGCACCAAAAAGTATTCCTATATTGTAACAAGCTTGACATTGTAACAATGAAAGTGCTATATAGAGCCCTGTTTTTGGTGCTATATGGAACCCTTTTTCAAAACGTTTATGTGCACAACCACATACAACACACTTTCCCGATCAATCTGAAGAACCATTTCACAATGCAAAGAACCACTTAAGCATGTAAAGGGTTCTTTAAGTGTTTTCACGGTTTTATATAGAACCAGTTCTTTACTAAAGAACCACCTTTTTTTAAGAGTGTATGACATATATCAAATTACTATTAATCTTTAATTGTCTAATTAATCAAAGTATATAATAATAATAATAATAATAATAATAATATTTTATAATGAAATTGAGACATTGAGATATTCATGAAATTGTTGAATGGTATTATTATTATTATTATTATTATTATTATTATTATTATCATTATTATTATTATTATAGCAGCAATAACAGTTTAAACAGAACTAATGCATCTTAATAGCACCAGAACATGATTAGATGAACATATATGTTTACTAACTTTTTGTCTGGGGAGCTTGTGAATAAAAATCGCTTTGCTTCCAGGCAAAAATTGCTTCTATAAGTCAATGCAGGGGCTTCACAACCAATTTCTGAAAGAACACTACACAGAGTAGTGATTTTTAAATATTGTTTCAAGTCGTGAAACTCGCTGGCGGTCCTTCCTTCACACTGTGGCCTTTGGCATGCTCAAATGGCTAATTGTATCCATTATTATCATATGCTTTGCGACCCATTTTCCACACATTGAACGAGACGTTCACTGCACTGTACCACTTTTCTCAATCTATGAATCCCGCAATGCATATATATGTATATTGCTGCTATCAGAACAAAACCTTTTAGCCCCATCATTTGATCAAAATAGAAAATAAGGGTTGAGGGCTTTTTCCCCCAAGTTACACTAAAATTCACTGGGTAAAAACATTACAGAAGCAGACATAGACGCAGTCAGCTATGTGTAATCTACTGTTTGCAGAGATATGCAAAATTTGAACACCCCTGATCAAATGACATGTTTATCTTCTAAGTGAAAATCCTCCACAAAGAGCATCACACATCTGCATTCTGACTGACTGTATTTTAGAGTAATGTAGGATGTGGCCCTTTAAGAAAACATCATTGGCAGCTATGTGCTTGATGTTGAAAGCAGAAGACGATGTCCCACCCCATCTGCTGCATTTCCCAGCTTCCTCATCATCTATGCATATAATTAAACTGAATGGAGCAATTAAGAGCTTGATATCTCAATTTTCAGAGTTACATTTCAGAACCCCAGGGGGTCCAGCGCAACCTCCGAGATTAGAGCTGGATGTGCTAGTGGAGCCTGGAGGTGTTGCACTTACTCAATTTAGATACACTTTGGTCAAGTAGCGTACAAGGTTCTGTATGTTCTCTGTAAGAAACTGCAAAAGAATCAGCAGATTTCTGTGAGAATGTTGCATTCTGGGAGATACAGGTCAACCTTCATATCATATGAAATTATAATGTCTGATTATACAGTAATTATTTGTATTTACAGCGCATATTTGGAAAGTGACCATGACCTGAATATTGTAATCTCTGGGGGCGGAGCTTCCCAGCATTCTGGCTTTTGTTGGTTTCTGTTAATAAGCAATTATTTCTTCATATACAGTTCCTCTTTGTTTGTAAGATCTTAGTCTTAGCCAAAAGATACACTATATGGCCAAAAGTGTGGGACACTTCACCATTACACTTACATAGGTTTGTTGGACATCCGATGCCAGGGACATTAACATGCAGCTGGCCTTTGCAGCTATAACAGTCTCCACTCTTCTGGGAAGCTTTCCACACCATTTTGGAGAGTGTCTGTAGGAATTTGGGTCTACTCAGTCAAAACAGCTTTGGTGAGGTCAGGCACTGACGTTGGACGAGAAGGCCTGGCTTGCAATCATTCCAAAAGTATTCAGTGGGGTTGAGGTCAGGGCTCTGTGCAGACCACTGGAGTTCCAAACTCGTCAAACCATGTCTTTACAGATGTCGTTATGTCAGATTTGTCTATCAGACTGTGAAAGTGATGCATTATTTACATGTTTCCACTGCTCCAGAGTCCAGTGGCGGCGTGCTTTACACCCCCCCAGCCGACACTTGGCATTGTGCATGGTGATCTTAAGCTTGTGTGCAGCTGCCCAGCCAGAGAAACTCATTTCATGAAGCTCTTGACGCACAGTTCTCGGTCTGATGTAGCTTCCAGAGACAGTTTGGGACTCTGTAGTGAGTGATGCAACAGAGGACAGGCGATTTTTACATACTTCAGCACTCGGCCGCCCCGCTCTGCGAGTTTGCATGGTCTACCACTTTGTTGCACTGACTGTTGACTGGGGAAGATCTAGCAGAGCAGAAATTTTAGTCATTGAGCTTCTCAGTGTGACCCATTCTACTGTCAGTATGTGTCTATGGAGATTGCATGGCTATGTGCTTGATTTTATACACCTGTTAGCAATTCATGTGGCTGAACTCAGTCATTAGCAGGGGTGTCCACATACTTTTGGCCACACCGTGTACACGTCTGAGAACTCCAGGTGCCAGGTGCAGCGAGTCGGCACAAATTCCTTCAGAGCTAACAGAGCAGCGGGACAAACACAGCGTGACTCAGCGGAAAGCTGCACATGTCATGCAAAAGCATCAATGTTCCAACACCGGAAAAAAACAACAATTAAAACATTTAACACTACCAGTCTTTACTCACCTCTGAATGTTTCATACTGCCGGGAAGAGAAAATAGGTCAATGTTGAAACAGATTAATAATACATGTATGTTTGTATGCAGGCTGTTGTTAGTCACTACTTTCTTTTTGTGTTAACCGGACATCTGGGAAGTGACTGCTACACATTATGTAACCTTTCTTCTCTTACTGTACTCCAACTTTCACTCCGTTGAAACTTTGTGACTAGTTCTAAAATGTTATATCTTTATGGAATTTAAAGGCCCATATCATGGAAAACTTTTCATGTATTTGACACAGTATGTAAACATTATTTTAATAATAATAATATAAGTTTCAAAATGTACCGTTTGCTGAACAGTTCACACATATATAGAAGCTAAGCTGCAAAAACAGAACTGTATTTGTGATGTCACAAAAAACCCAGTCCAAACTCTGAATTAAAAAAAAATATATTGACAAACACCTTTATGGAAATATATGGTCACATTAACACTTACTGGCAAACTCTATCAACTGCCCATTGACTTGCATTATACAAACCTGATTGATGCCTGTAACATGTTTCAAAAACATTGGGATAAGGGGCAATTCAAGACTAGGAACTTAAACGGAGGTCCAAAGGCCTTAGCCTTTTATGAGGTAGAATGGGTCGAGGCTTGCTACTTTGCCAAAATATGTGCCATTTAAGAACATCGTTCCTTAGCGAGTGATTGATTTTAGTTATTTCACCCTCTGTGGTGCATAAAACATTCACAAGATTCAGGAAATTTTGGAGTAATATATGTGCGTAAAGGTCAAGGCCAAAAACCACAACTGAATGCCTGTCACCTTTGACCCCTTTTCTGGACATCACGCTCATCTCAAACAGCCTGATGTACAGTGGAAGCGTGTATTGTGACCTAAAGAGTAAACAACATCCAGAACTTCTCTGGGTGTCAAGTTCATCTCAAATGGCCTGATGTACAGTGGAAGCAGCCTGATGTACAGTGGAAGCGTGTATTGTGACCTAAAGAGTAAACAACATCCAGAACTTCTCTGGGTGTCAAGTTCATCTCAAATGGCCTGATGTACAGTGGAAGCATGTATTGTGGCCTAAATAGTCAACAACATCCAGAACTTCTCTGGGCATCAAGCTCATCTCAAACGGCCTGATGTACAGCAGAAAAGTGTATTGTGGCCTAAAGAGTCAGCAAGGTCTAGAACTTCTCTGGGTGTCAAGCTCATCCCAAATGGCCTGATGTACAGTGGAAATGTGTATTGTGGTCTAAAGGGTCAACAGTGTCCAGAACTTCTCTGGGCGTCAAGCTCGTCTCAAATGACCTGATGTACAGTGGAAACATGTACTGTGGCCTAAATAGTCAACAACATTTAGAACTTCTCTGGGCATCAAGCTCATCTCAAATGGCCTGATGTACAGTGGATGCATGTATTGTGGCCTAAAGACTCGGCAACGTCCAGAATTTCTCTGGGCATCAAGCTCATCTCAAACGGCCTGATGTACAGCAAAAAAGTGTATTGTGACCTAAAGAGTCAGCAATGTCTAGAACTTCTATTGTGCTCTAAAGAGTTAACAGTGTCCAGAACTTCTCTGGGCGTCAAGCTCATCTCAAATGGCCTGATGTACAGTGGAAGCATGTATTGTGGCCTAAAGAGCCAACAACGTCCAGAACTTCTCTGGGCGTCAAGCTCATCTCAAACAGCCTGATGTACAGCAGAAAAGTGTATTGTGGCATAAAGAGGTAAGGTTTCAGATTGTTTATGGAAATATTGGACGTCCTGTTCTCCAGGCCAAAGCAGAAAACAACCACCCATATCGTTACTGGTGTAAAGTTCATTGTGTGCTACAGATGCAGCAGATTGGGTTGGAAAACACTGAAGTATTGCTTAAACAGCATTAGGAGGGGGAAGTACAATGTTCTTTAACTCATTTGAAGTTTAGAGGCCCCCCAAAAAAATGATTCCTCATGTTTACAGTCTAAAAGAACAAGGAAAGTTCAAACACAGTACTGCTTGAATGCTCCACTTTGAAGAATGGAGTACAGACTCACTTCACAGGCGGATGAGAGAGAGAGAGATAGAGAGAGAGAGAGAGAGAGAAAGGCCAGTTAGTTCCATCCATTATGGCTGCAATGTCTGTTTCCCAGCGTGTTTGCCCAAGACAACTGTACTCTCCAGATAAGACGAGAGAGGAGCTTTCTGCCTCCGGGCGCATTGGGGTAACATCCCACTCCCTCCGTCAAACTGTGACGAGCCCCCCTCCCCACCTTACCCCCTCATTCGGCGCCAGACTCCTCAGGCTAGATGCTAACCGCCATGTTGCGTTTTGCTCTGCCACACCCCATCAATCTCGGGCCTGCATATTTCATCACCGAAGCATCTGGAAAATGCTGAAATTTTAATCGGGAGTGGGGGTAATAAAAAGTTAGCATGTTCTGAGAGTTTGCAGGGCGCCGTATGGTAAGGCTACATCAGCGGAATCAGCTGCGGGCCCTCGCCTCGCCTTGCTGCTCGGCAGATTTCTTACAGAAGGGACAGATGGGTGTCAAGCGAGGAGCAAGAACCTTGCTTTTATAGGTGTAGGTGTTTTCCCTGAAGTCAGCACAATAAAGCGATGACAAACTCAGGCGTGAAGCTTTTTTGCTGCTCTGCACTGACATTTCAAAAACCTGCCAAAGGTTTTGTAGGTTTTAATAGAGTTGCATGTTTAAATTCAAGGAGAAATGGACTGTTTCCAGTGGTGAACCATGACCATGGTTAGCCCACGCGAGTGCTTGCCAACTCTAGTCCTGCACTATCCAGTTTCAAGCTGTCCCTACACCCCAGCCACATCATTAGCTAATGATCAGTTCCTTAATGAACTCAATGAGCAGTACTGGAGAAGGGAAACAAAATTGTCCAGGTTACGTGCAGCGCTGGAGTTGGGAAACATCGGCCTGTGCTGTGGTCACTTAGTTTAATGAGCCAAATTTGAGTATAAGTGCCTTAATGACGACTAAAAGGCAATTCAGCTTAATTTTCTGCTTATTTACTGGCTCTCATTCTGACCAGTTCGACGTAAAATGGTTAATTGTAGAGAATCTTAGTGACTGAGATGTCTTTACAGTCATGATGATGGGAACCAGGGGTCATGATGCCAAAATAGCCAATTTATTTGCTATTCAAAATGAAAAGTGAACCTACACACATCTTCTACATACTGTATTTTACCATATACCATATTTTAAATAACACTATTTTTCCATATGTTGATCAAAAATGGGGTCCAATGCCCTATATGTACCTCTCCACCATGAATGAATTTTAAAAATTACATTTTAGGCCTAAACTTGGTCTCAAAACTATCATTACACAGTGTCTCGGACATCAGGCAGCACATTCATAACCATTTCATGTGCTAAAATTTTTGTGAGGGAGCTTCTAGAGGCGTTGAGACGTCGTGCCAGACGTCTGGTTCCATTCACCACCACAGTGAGCATTTCACATCCAACCATTCTGACTGCCTGATTACATTGTAAAGGGAAAATGGTGGAGTTTCCCTTTAAGACTCCTTTATTTATTTTAGATTTTAGGTTTTATTTATATATTTTTAAATATTTTATATATTCCCTTTATTTTAGACCATAATTAATAAAGTGCATGGCAGTTAGCACTGTTATTGCTAAACTCAGTGCCATATAATCGACAAACTTGATATTCAGATAATATTTAAAGAAAAAGAATCTTTATTATAACTCACCACTATAATATGCTAACACAATGTGAGTCTTCTACTGTATTCAAACAGACTGAAAGGTTTTAGGCCGAATCTCAAATGGCTTCCTACTGCGTCTATAGTGCACTACAAACATCGGTCCACTCTAATAGCACACTTAATGTTAAACAGAGAGTCCTGCAGCCTAAGACTGAATCCCAAATGGCTTCCTATTCGACATATAATACACTGTTTGGATGAAGAAGTCGTGATTTCATGACCTATATAGTGCACTACATAGGGAGTAGGGAGCTAAGTGAGAGTCACCTTGTGACTTTAATTTGGGACAATCAGATTGACTGTTTATTTATTTGACCAATCAGAGTGATCACTTATTTATTTGGCCAATAAGATTAATTGTTTATGTATTTGGCCCAGTCAGAATGACGAGCAGTTAAGGATGATGTAAACAAACAGAACCATCGGAGTAAAACGAACTGATTTCACAAAATATGGAGTTTTACAGGCAGCAGGATCTGAAAATCCGGTTCTAAGGTGAGTAGTTTTGTTTATATCCGCTCAGTGATGCTTATTTCGGTGGGTGTTTTGGTTGTTTTGGTGTTTTAGCTACGTGCTAACGCTAATTGACGATAGCCGGGAAATGTGGTTGATTTTTTTTCTCTTGGGCTACAAATACAGCGACAAACTGTTTAACAACGTTCGGCGTTAATGTTCGGTTAAAAAAGTAGGAAAAGAAGAAAGAAATGGACAAGAAAGAAAGAAAGAAAGAAAGAAAAAGAAAGAAGGAAGGAAAAAAAGAACAACCTGTTTATACTGAAGACGCTGTGAGGGAGTCGTCTCAAGTTCGCCGCGAGGCGGCAGTGGCGGGAAGCGCGAGCTCTCTCTCCCTCCCTCTCTCTTTCGATCTCTGTCTCTCTCTCTGTCTCTCTCTTTCGCTCTCTCGCTTTCTGTATTTCTTTCTTTCACTCTCTTTCGTTCTCTCTCTCTCTCTCTATCTATCTCTCTCCCCCTCTCCCTCTTTTGTTCTTTCTCTCTCTTGCTTTCTGTATTTCTCTCTCTCTCTCTCTCTCTTTCTATCTCTGTGTCTCTCTCTCTCTCTCTCTCTCTCTCTCTCTCTCTTTCTATCTCTGTGTCTCTCTCTCTCTTTCACTCTCTCTCTCTCGCCCTCTCTTTCGTTCTCTCTCTCTCTCTCTCTCTCTCTCTCTCTCTCTCTCTCTCTCTCTCTCTCTCTTTCAGTTCAGTGGGCGTCATTGGTTTGAACTGATTTACCTTCATGAATGTCAAAGCAATTAACACATGAAGCCGTACAGCAGAAAAGATAACAGATACAACACGGACGTAAAAACACACTGAAACACTAAAAAAGAAAGAATAAATTAGGACTGAAGAAAAGAAACTTGTTGGAATTTGGAACATTTATACATAATTAAGATGGAAACAACGTCAGTCATTTACTGTGAAATGCCCCATTAGGGAAACGTGCCGAGTCAGAACTGTTCGCAGTGGTGGTGATAGGAACCAGACGTCCCCCTCTAAAAGCTCCCTCACAGGAAGTTATTAGCCTACATGAAACGGTAATGAATTTGTTGTCTAATGTCTGAGACCCTGTTTTACGATTATTTTGAGAAGGCCTAAATCATACTTTTTATACTCAATTCATTTTTACCACTATTTTTGATTACATATGATCATCAACATTATATATATATATATATATATATATATATATATATATATAATATTTTAAATTTTATATATATATATATATGTATGTATATGTGGTTAAGATATGAAGACATTCACAGTGGTTTGGTGTGAAATTCTCCATTGAAGAGAACCACTGGCGGTGAATGGAACCAGACGTCAAAAGAGTTTAATGCCTCTAAAAGCTGGATACGCTGACTGATATCTGAAACATTGATTTGTGATAGTTTTGAGAGTTTGTATTGTGAGCATTTGATTTTTGCCTAAATTGTATTTTTTTAAAAGCCATTCATGATGGAGGGATACATGTAGAGTGTTCCAAGGCAAAATAGTGCCCAAAGAAAATGTATTTTTTTCATACTTATCACTATTTTACCCCCATCAAAGTTACATATAAACACTCAAAAGACTCGTGTAGGTTTTGGATAGTAAATAAAATGTCCATATTTGTGTTGTAGACGCCATGGCGTCTGGTTCCATTCACCACCACTGTAAAGAAATCTGAGTCTCTACAGTGAACTACTTGACGTCAAACCACTCTGAATGACTCTGTTTACATCTCAACCACTGAATTATGCAGAAATGCTGAGAAAAAAATCGATGTAATTCCCCTTTAAAAACACAATAATAGTCTTTTTTTCTCCAAGCTGACCGAGCTAGCATCTCCATTTCGCGCCACAGGAGGGCGTCGTTACCGCGAGACCCGGATGGCGTCAGCGGTCTCCAGGCAACAGCAGGCGAGCAGAGTTCTTAATCAGCGCTGGAGAGCGGCGGAGAGAGCAGAGCGGAGCGGAGCGATGGCACTCTCTGACCGGGCGCAGGACGGACTCCTCTCTCGGACAGCGACGGACTTATAACGCGGGAAGCGGCGGTGATGAGCGGAGGAGGACGGGGGGAAGCCGTGGAGGAGGTCTGAGAGAAAACGGTTCGCCACGAGGAGAGAAAACAAACACAAACGAGTAACGTTAACGGTCACCAAGTTCTCTCAGCTGATACCGATTGGCGCCATTTTTTGGTGGAAATGCAGTATTTACAGTTTTAGTGTCTCTTATTTTCCTCCCAAAAACTGATTTCCGTGTCGTATTTTTGAGAAATTGGGCGCTACAGCGTGCGGTAAAGACTTCATTCATGTCCTCTGGTTCCAGGAGCGGTTATTCCCCACCTCAGAAACTGTGGAGGGGTCGAGTTTGAACGGTATCTACGTGAAAACATTTGTTCAAAGCTTCCCGTTTAACCCAAAGACGATGGTGAAATTTCACAACTCTGACCTGTGGATTGCTTGGCTGCTGCTCTTCTGCATGGAAGGTGAGTCTGAGTTGCTTTTCTGCCGGTAGGTTCTCTGTTATTTCAGGTTCTGGCTTTACATCCCATGTGGAACTTTCTTCAGAGGTTCCTTCACTTCTTCTGCTGTTGGTCTAAAAGAAGTGAGTGTGGAGACTAAGAAGTGGCCAAGTTGGCCCGAATGTGGCCTACACACTAAAAAAGATGGTTCTTCAGGGGTTCTTGTTCTATTTAGAACCATGAGTTTGATACAGAACCATTTGCATGCTTAAATGGGTCTTTGCATGGTGAAATGGTTCTTCAGATTAATGGAGAATGTGTTATACGTGGTATGTAGAACCTTTTCGAAAATGGTTCTATATAGCACCAAAGGTGTTATGATATCAAGCTTGTAATGATAGGAGAACCCTGTTAGGACCATTAGAAAGGTTCTATATGGCATCAAAATAATATATCAAGCTTGTGACAATAGCAGAACCCTTTTAGGGCAATTAGAAAGGTTCTATATGGCATCAAAAAGGGTTCTGTTACAATGCACCTTGTTCTGCTAAAGAATGTGATGTATATGGTTCTATATAGAACCTTTTTTTAAAATGGGTCTGTATAGCAGCAAAAAGTGTTCTTCTATTGTTAAAGCTTGACATCATAACAATAGCAGAACCCTTTTTTTTGGTGCTATGTAGAACTGTTTTAAAATGGTTTGACACAGAACCTTTCTTATGGTGCTAAAAGGGTTCCGCTATTGTTACAAGCTTGATATCGTAATAGTAACAACCCCTTTTGATGCTATATAGAACCTTTCTAATGGCCCTGAAAGGGTCCTTTCAAGCCCATTAAAAAGGTTCTAGATAGCATCAACAAAGGTTCTGTTACTATTATGACATCAAGCTTGTGACAGTAGCAGAACCCTTTTAGGGCCGTTAGAAAGGTTCTGTTAAGCATCAGAAGGGGTTATGACGTCAAGTTTCTAACAATGGCAGAACCCTTTTTGGTGCCACACAGAATCATTTTCAAAAAGGTTCTGTACAGAACCATTTTCCGAAAGGTTCTACAGAACCATATACAACACATTCTAAAGTAGAACCCTTTTAGCGCCATAAGAAAGGTGTTGTGTCAAACCATTTTAAAATAGTTCTACATAGCACCAAAAAGGGTTCTGCTATTGTTATGATGTCAAGCTTTAACAATAGAAGAACCCTTTTTGCTGCTATACAGACCCATTTTCAAAAAGGTTCCATATAGAACCATATACAACACATTCTATAGCAGAACACTTTTTAGCGCCATAAGAAAGGTTCTGTGTAGAACCTTTTTTACATTTGTTCTACATAGCACCAAAAAGGGTTCTGCTATTGTTGTGTTGTCAAGCTTTAACAATAGAAGAACACTTTTTGGTTCTATACAGAATCATTTTCTAAAAAATGTTCTATACAGAACCATTTCACCATGCAAAGAACCATTTAAGCATGCAAATGGTTCTATATAGCCCTCATGGTTCTAAAGGGAACCACTGCTTTTACTGAAGAACCATCTTTAAGCGTGTAGCCTGCAGTAAGAGGAGACAGTCCAGGGTCTGAAGGCCTCTTCAGCTGAGTGATGGAATCTGGTCACAGGAACCTCCTTCTGTTCTCCTGGCGAATGAGGGTTGCAGGCAGTTTGGAGTCTGAGAGGGACGTCCCCCCACCCTGTCAGAAAAGGTGGTCTCTGGTCAGAGGGATCGTGAGTCCGATTGCAGTTGCAGCATCGCCGCTGCTGAGAAATGCGAATGTCATGGATGTTTTGAAATGGAAACAGGGCCAGACGGTGAAGGTCTGCCCCCCGTAATCCGCCCCCCCGTCCCTGATTAAGGAGAGCTTTCGTCCACGTGATGAGCTCTGGCATCGTCACACATGCACACACACACCGAGAGAACTTGGGTTGACTTCTGTATCACTCCAGCTAACACTGGCCCAACTCTGACCTTCCACCAAATTTTTAAAATTCTGCATAATTTGATCACTGAAATCAAAGTGGTTGATTGTAGTGAAAATCAGATTTCTTCCCAGTGATGATAGGAACCAGGGGTCGCCACGTCTACCGGGCAGATATGACCACATGATCTTTATACACATAACATTCTGACCACCTCCTTGTTTCTACACTCATTGTCCATTTTATCAGCTCCACTTACTGTATAGGTGCTCTTTGTAGTTCTACAGTTACAGACTGTAGTCCATCTGTTTCTCTGATACTTTGTTAGCCCCCTTTTACCCTGTTCTTCAGTGGTCAGGACCCCCATGGACCCCCCAGAGCAGGTACTATTTGGGTGGTGGATCATTCTCAGCACTGCAGTAACACTGACGTGGTGGTGGTGTGTTAGTGTGTGTTGTGCTGGTCTGAGTGGATCAGACACAGCAGTGCTGCTGGCTTAACCGTGGAGTTATGCAAGAATTTAACCTCTCTAATCTTATCAAAGATCAGTTTTGACCTTTTTTACTGTTTCTGATTGAGGCTGGAGGCTTTCGTAGCGAAGAGCATTTGGACCAGACTAGCCAGATGCCTCCACAACATCAACATTTTCCATTATACATCACTCTGGGAACATTTGGCCCCCACAAATAGCAAATATATGGCAAATAAGCAAACCCGTTGCGTGAACTGGCCAGCATGTTGGACTTGGTTTGTTGGTATGTTTCACTTCTTGATGGTGACAGTTCCAGATTCACTCATTCTGCTTCATTTGGTGGTGTTTTTTTTTGTAATGTGGTTATGTTATAACTGACGTTCGGGGGGAGGAACTTTTTTAGGGCCATTAGAAAGGTTCTATATAGCATCAAAAGGGTTCTATTACTGTTACGATATCAAGCTTTAGCAAAGGCAGAGCCCTTTTAGGGCCACTAGAAAGGTTCTATATAGCGTCAAAAAAGGGGTTGTATTCCTATTACGATATCAAGCTTGTAACAATAGCAGAACCCTTTTAAGGCCACTAGAAAGGTTCTATATAGTGTCAAAAGGGTTCTATTACTGTTACGATATCAAGCTTTAGCAATGGCAGAACCCTTTTAGGGCCACTAGAAAGGTTCTATACAGCGTCAAAAGGGTTCTATTACTGTTACGATATCAAGCTTTAGCAATGGCAGAGCCCTTTTAGGGCCACTAGAAAGGTTCTATACAGCGTCAAAAAGGGTTCTATTACTGTTACGATATCAAGCTTGTAACAATAGCAGAACCCTTTTAGGGCCACTAGAAAGGTTCTATATAGCGTCAAAAAAGGGGTTGTGTTCCAGTTATGATATCAAGCTTGTAACAATAGCAGAACCCTTTTAGGGCCAATAGAAAGGTTCTATATAGCATCGAAAGGGTTCTATTACTGTTACAATATCAAGCTTTAGCAATGGCAGAGCCCTTTTAGGGTCACTAGAAAGGTTCTATGTAGCGTCAAAAAGGGTTTTGCTACTGTTACAATATCAAGCTTGTAGCAATGGCAGAACCCTTTTAGAGCCACTAGAAAGGTTCTATATAGCATCGAAAGGGTTCTATTACTGTTACAATATCAAGCTTTAGCAATGGCAGAGCCCTTTTAGGGTCACTAGAAAGGTTCTATGTAGCGTCAAAAAGGGTTTTGCTACTGTTACAATATCAAGCTTGTAGCAATGGCAGAACCCTTTTAGAGCCACTAGAAAGGTTCTATATAGCATCAAAAAGGGTTCTGTTAGTATTACGATATCAAGCTTGTAACAATAGCAGAACCCTTTTAGGGCCACTAGAAAGGTTCTATATTGCGTCGAAAAGGGTTCTGTTAGTATTACTATTTCAAGCTTGTAACAATAGCAGAACCCTTTTAGGGCCAATAGAAAGGTTCTATATAGCATCAAAAAGGGTTGTGTTCCTGTTACGATATCAAGCTTGTAACAATGGCAGAACCCTTTTAGGGCCACTAGAAAGGTTCTATATAGTTTCAAAAAAGGGGTTGTGTTCCTGTTACGATATCAAGCTTGTAACAATAGCAGAACCCTTTTAGGGCCACTAGAAAGGTTCTATATAGCATCGAAAGGGTTCTATTACTGTTACAATATCAAGCTTTAGCAATGGCAGAGCCCTTTTAGGGTCACTAGAAAGGTTCTATGTAGCGTCAAAAAGGGTTTTGCTACTGTTACAATATCAAGCTTGTAGCAATGGCAGAACCCTTTTAGAGCCACTAGAAAGGTTCTATATAGCATCGAAAGGGTTCTATTACTGTTACAATATCAAGCTTTAGCAATGGCAGAGCCCTTTTAGGGTCACTAGAAAGGTTCTATGTAGCGTCAAAAAGGGTTTTGCTACTGTTACAATATCAAGCTTGTAGCAATGGCAGAACCCTTTTAGAGCCACTAGAAAGGTTCTATATAGCATCAAAAAGGGTTCTGTTAGTATTACGATATCAAGCTTGTAACAATAGCAGAACCCTTTTAGGGCCACTAGAAAGGTTCTATATTGCGTCGAAAAGGGTTCTGTTAGTATTACTATTTCAAGCTTGTAACAATAGCAGAACCCTTTTAGGGCCAATAGAAAGGTTCTATATAGCATCAAAAAGGGTTGTGTTCCTGTTACGATATCAAGCTTGTAACAATGGCAGAACCCTTTTAGGGCCACTAGAAAGGTTCTATATAGCGTCAAAAAAGGGGTTGTGTTCCTGTTACGATATCAAGCTTGTAACAATAGCAGAACCCTTTTAGGGCCACTAGAAAGGTTCTATATAGCATCGAAAGGGTTCTATTACTGTTACAATATCAAGCTTTAGCAATGGCAGAGCCCTTTTAGGGTCACTAGAAAGGTTCTATGTAGCGTCAAAAAGGGTTTTGCTACTGTTACAATATCAAGCTTGTAGCAATGGCAGAACCCTTTTAGAGCCACTAGAAAGGTTCTATATAGCATCGAAAGGGTTCTATTACTGTTACAATATCAAGCTTTAGCAATGGCAGAGCCCTTTTAGGGTCACTAGAAAGGTTCTATGTAGCGTCAAAAAGGGTTTTGCTACTGTTACAATATCAAGCTTGTAGCAATGG